GTCTCAAGAATAAGCTCAGCACACATAACTTGCATCTGAACTCCAGGCGAATAAACACTGCTATAGCATGCTCTATTTGTCAACGCACTGTATAAATGCTGATTCTAGGAGGCGGGGCTAATGGATACCCCTTGGCTGAGTTGTGATTAAGGGCATAGTCTTAGCTGGAGGTGATACGCGAGCCCTTTTCTACCATGCTCTACCAACCATATATTTCGTGTCGTTTCGGGATTCGCTCCCGGTACGTTGGCTCGCAAAATGTAATGCGTTGTTTGTACCAGAAGTCCGAATGGCGCTGGTCGATCGAAACTCGAAGTGAAGGGCACTGCTAAAGGCGATTGTCGTCACCTACGAAGACCTACTGAAGTAGTTGTCTGCAAAAGATTTTTCCGCGAATTGCCTAATATTGTGTTTTATTGCCATACATGTTGTTTCTGGAAGTATCCAGAAAGTGGACGATAACGATCACTACAGCTGAGGCATAGCCATAGACGAATTTATATAAAATAGAGTTGAGAGACCGCTGGTCTGCGTGTACATATGAAAAAGACAGATCGCAGGCCCTTACCGGAGCCAACGAATCGCAGCAGGTTGACAGCGATGAAATGGTGCACGATTTCGTATGTAATGACAATGCTCTGATAGATAATGCTGTCACGGTATCATGCTGAGTTTCTTTTTGTCTCTTTTTCCTCTTCTATTCTGGGGCGAAGCGTAGAGTAACGTTCGGTTTACACACCTCAAGATAACCCAAGGCATTGCGGATAATTCCGCATCAAGAAAGTATTACGCTCTTTTCTTTTTTTAAAGCATGCTTAAACGTTTCATCGCAATGAGAAACAACCGGTTATGATACTTGCGCTATAATCGGCATCCAAGGAATTTTTGCTTTAGCATTATTTATTTCTCCACTCCACGGATCTTCTGGTCCATGTCAAAGTTTACGTCTCGTCAATCTGCTTTCAATACGATTCGGTCGAACGTGAAGTTTCTTTGTTTGTCTTGTAATTTGCCAATACTCTCGCAGACATAGTCCGTCGTATAATTTTCGCTGTTGCTGCCTAAGAGCAATTACTTTTAGACAAAGCGTCAACGAAATATAGGTTCTTATACGAGTATAGGTTCTTGTAGATGTGCAAGTTGAAACTGTTATACAGACGTACGTGTTTACGTATCTACGTGTGTCTCTCAAGAAAGTTTTCGGAGGATAGCAGTCGAGTATTATATGTTGTCGTCTCTATAGCGGGAAATCCTGCGGATGCTTGAAACGTGTAGTATGAATTAAATAACATGCTCTAATATGCTGGATATGAAGCAAATAATAATCAATCTACACTCGAAATGTCATAAGCTTGTTGTCTCTGACTGATACGGTGCGAAAATATCAGGACGGTTTTCTTCGCTCTTCGATTACATTGTCTTGCTTTCTTCTCATTGCTTTATCACTGTTACATCTGCAGACGTCTCTTCAGGGACGCAGCAGCAGCGGCAATAAGGAAGAACGGTGCCTGCAATGAACTGTTAAAACACACTGCACTACAATAGCTTAAACTCTGAAACGTTTAACTGTACAAATATATAGTGTATGTCGAAACTCAAATCTGCATCAGAAAGAACGCTATTGTCCCGTCAACTTTTTAACGTTTCCTTCAATCATTAGATATTCAGCCACCTTCAAGGCTAGCCTGAGAGTGTCACAGAGCACGAGGTTTTCAAGCTGCTAATTTTAATGACGGGCAAATGATGTTCTTTAAGATATGCTAATTGGGTATGCAGCTGATATGTAGCATTTTAGGAAAACTCCGGTCCTGCGCAAACTATCCCTTTTCCCCAAAACTTTTTCCATCTGCTATCGAGAAAAACTGCAGCTTGTCTTTACCTACATTGCAAAGTTCTGCAATACCTCACCGTAAGAGCCCCAGTTTCGAAATATGCGTTCCACGTTCCACAAATTGCTTTGTGGTTGAAAAAGCTCCTTTCGACCAAACGATATAATAGCAGCGGAAGAAATAGCGCTGGCTTCTCTGTAATATTATCAAAGCCGAATTGCTCGGGTAGTAATGGCTTGTTTCGGCCCACCCGGGTTGAACTAGCTTGGATCAGAACATTTCTGTCACACCACACAGCGTGAAGACCCTGATACCAGTAATTCTCCTCTTCGGTAGCAATTTTACTATATAATAATTTCATCACAACGTGTATAAAGCCATATGTAAAATAATGATGTCGTTCTGGTTTGAAACTAACTCACAGGAGACTCACTGTGGATTTATGCTATCTTAATACCAAATTCATGTTCGCACAATTTAGGAACTGATTAGTGAAGAGGCTACGAGGAAAAACCACAGCGGACACCCGACTACCCCCTTTGACTATTTGATTGAAGTACTTTGTATGTAGGATAGTGGAAAAACGTCTCAGAATACGATACGGCGCTTGCTTACTGTATCGATACATGCCCAAGTCCCCCTTCGTTAACTAAAAGGTAACTTCGTCGTTCTAAAAGAACTTAAAAAGCAAAAACCCCCCAGAATAATATTGATAAGGTCAATTCTGTAGGCCGTCACAAAACCTGAATCAGATAACTACATAAGCTAGACAGGAATGAAGAAGTCAACCGTATCTGGCTTCATGCATACGGTACGACGCTTCAGTTATATCAATGGAACTATGAAACGGTAGTGTAAATATCTTTCGGTCAGTTAGTTAGTAACTAAGTGGACTTTATGAATTATCATTGTTGAACACCGATGTTTTCAAGTTTAGTCTTATCGTATAACTCTAAACGATGTTATTAAAACTTTTCATTTTACTTTCATTGTTAAATACATATACTACCAAGCCAGTTTTGTTCTTGCGCCTTGAAGGAGCCTAAATCAGTGAAAAGTTGCCAAGGCATTGTATGCTTACAATTTTGATTAGATCTTTCACAACGTAATTTAATTTGCTGAGTAAAGCTATAACTTCCAGAAAAAAAACGTCAACGTACAGCCTGGCCTAATTTATTTATATTCGATAGATTATGTATGTACACATCACACAGTAATAATTAGGTAATTATGAACTTTTTAACCCACCACCGTACGACGATTAGAATTCACTTGTCATTGTCCTCGTACATTTACTCTGACTAAATAAAAACGTACCTTCAACATACTAGACAAGAGCGATATTTATCTGAACAGACACCGCGCACGTTGCGTAACATAGATAGTTTTAGTAGTGTCGAAATATGGTGACCAAGATAGTCCAACAGCAGGCTACAATAAGAAATTGCTCAGGCTCCGAGCCATGATTGTCCCGGTACGATCCATGCGTTGGACAACGCATACAAATGTTAGCAATAACATGCAGAGTGCTGCGAAGAACTGAATCTGTTGTTGACGGTTTGAGCCGCGGCGTAAAACCGGGGGACGGCCGTATTGTTGTTTAAAAGTTAACGGCTCACATTTGTAACGGCCTTCGTAAGATTAGAAATCGAATAGAGGACAGTCACCTGGCGTAACGTACAGCTTCCGACGCCATCTGTTTCTCCTCCTGCGACTCGACTATGGACTTCTTTCTCTGTTCAGCGCACTCGTCTACATGTCTACCTGATTCCATTGTCGTGCGTGGCGTCTATTTACGTGCCCAGCATGCATAACGAACGGACTAACAAGCAATGAACTATTTTTTCAAGTATTCGTCCACCCATTTTAATCGTTATGGCATCTCCAAAGCCATGGTTGCACTGGATGTGCTCTCTTTGGTCTCACCTAAACAATGATTCGTCTGGCAGACTTTGGTGATCGTAAGTAGGTTGAGAGTATATAGATCGTGAACGGACCTGCTTGACCTTTCTGGGCATTGCTGGATAGCGTTCTGGATGGCTACTGCCAGTTCGCAAGTGAAATATGCTTTATCCTGTACTTTCATGAAAACGTAACGAATTAGCATCAGCGCTCTGTCGCTGTGCATACTGTGTTCAGGTACTGCAATGTACGTGCGTTTACTTATGATCATTGTACAGTCTTATTTCTAGACTGTTGTTGTTAAGGTCCGTAGGTAAGGAACGTCGCGCCATACATCTTGATTTAGTCAATTTTTTTTTACACAAGTCTCTTTAATAACCGGCTCACCCCGGTACGACGCGAGCTGAATGCGCACAGATAAGTGACAAGAGCTTCCTTTTTGACTATTCGAATGTCCGCTTTTGACTGACGTCTCCTAGGCGATGTTTGAAACACATTTTCCTCCCTATTCCGACTGTCTGCTGCTAAAGATTCGGCTTACAACCATCACCGCTGAATGTCGGGATCAACCATAAATAGACAATAAAAAACATGTTTCACAGAACAGTCACACGAGGTTTTCATACGTATCGATCGAAGACAGTTATAATCGGAGTGAACATCCGAGTACGTTAGCGGTGAAATAGAAAACGTGAAGAAGGAGTTGGAGAGAAGTATCATGATATGATAGTCCATATGTAAGTGGAAATGGACGTCTGTCTGATGGTGCAGCGAATCAAAAAGAGGACAAGCCGGCAAACTGCGAGGGCGTACGATCGTAGATCGAATTCTCGACACAGAATGCTGACGTTTCGGTAATGGTGAGCAATAAGTAAGATCTGTCGTCAAGAAAACGTGTTGGATCGGATGAGAACTTGATGATGAGAACACCTCTGATCCCATATTTCTCATTGAATGTTACCGAAATGGGGCTTCGATGTATTGACGATAATGTCCTGTAGAGACGCTCATGTGTCCACGGTAATTAGGGACCTCGCTAACTAATCAGGATTTAGTTCGGCCAGAGAGATTACCATATGTAGTAGCATTGGAAGTTTCTTGACTGAAACAGCATGTGCTAGATACGGCTCCTGCTATCTTTACGCTGTTATTAACTATGGAAAAAGAAACAGAAGAAAATAAAGAAAAAGTCTCGTTTTTGCGTGTAGATACTCTGTTATTACGGTAATGAATCTATTTCTGTTCCTCTGTTTCTGTTTTCGATTTCAGACCACCCTGGGCCCCACGCCATCTTTCACGCAACGCCATCAAAATCCGTGTGTGTGTGTGTGAATATGATTGTAATATGTTGCAACCGGAAAACGGGCCAAAAACATGAACAATTCTTGAGTAAGTATACACACATAGTAAGCCACACGATATTTATTCATTATCTGTGGTACATATTATCCATCACAATGGGTTTTTTCTTCTTTTTTGTTTCGTTATGTATTTGTTACATTAATTTACCAAACGGAGTTATATCAATAAACGCTCACATTAACGTATAATGAAACGAGCATAGAAGATTTGTCGTGCTATCTCCGTTACCAAGGGTGACTTGAATTTAATTCGATTGCTCGAACCACCCAAAATAGAGCAACTAATAATACGCTTTCGTGTTACGGCATGTTTTCTTAGTTTTTTGATTATTCTTTTTTGCCCATTTCAATTTCGTTACAGCACATGACCTAGGAACATGCTTACGTATGCCATTCACTGATTAGGTAGTGCCTTCACTCATCTCAAACAGGTTTATTTAATGCGACGCAGACGTCATGTCTGTCTGATACGGAAGCGTGTTCTCTATGTGATCTTTTGTTGGACTTGTCGTCTAGATCTTGTTGCCAGCGCTCGACGCGACGATGTAGGCACCTCTCAACGACAAAAACGATGGCAGCAAATGACCATTGGCCCCATGGTTGTCCCACTGAAAGCGAGCACCGCAACTAAGAGACCGGTAACGCAACAGTGATGATCTGATTGACGATGACTCTTCTGATAATAATGATTGATCCAGTGAATCGTGCCTGACTTCAAGAGCTCTCAGTGTTTACTCCGTTGATGCGAGACCAATGTTACTTGTCTTAATCGGTCCACAAACGCACAGGGGCTAGTAAATCTTGTCATATACATATTTACCTATGGGAAAAGTAACATCGAATGAATTGCGTGATATGCGGATAACAGTGATGGCAACACCGTCGCCACCGACAACAACAATTACTGCTACGTTCCTAACTAATAATTCAACTTTTCGTGTTACGCTGCTTTATATAACGCAAACATACGTGGGCGGGCAATTTAACAACAGTTGAATCTCTGTAATTCGTTGCTTGTTTCATAGTTGCGGACACACGTCAACTTAAGCGTATAATTCCTGCTTACTTTGTGGGAAACCAAACTATATTTATTCTGACGGCATAAATAACCAAATGCATGTAGGCCGTGTGTACAAACAATGCGCGGAAGCCCTCGGGTAAACGTACTTAATCGTGTTGAAGACACTGCTCTGTGTTAACATCACATAAGGGCAAGCTTTAGTTCACGACTTCGTCACGTGATTTATTGGTTACGCTAACTTCGTTTCGAACGAGATGTGCTACTGCTCTAGGTTGTCAAGCTAATTTATTAGAGACAGAAGGTAAGAAGGGCGGACAATAAAAATTGCAGAAGCTAACTTAAACAGCAGCATAATACTTAAGGTCCATGAACACAAAAAGTGGGTCAGTGGCAGATCTGAACCCCGTCACATTGTTCGGACCAGATAATTGATTACCCCCGCTGTAAGTAAAGAAATTTAGAATATAGTGTGTAATATAAAAATGCGCAAATTAGCTGTACTTTTGAATTTCGAGCACCTACGTACCATTTGCGCGCCGAAAGAAACAATGGCATATCATTCAGTCTAATGTGGATTTTTGCCCCTTGTTCTTTCACGGCGCTATCGTCTTATGTCAGCTGCTTATCTTATCTGTTCCAATAGGCCAGATCTGAGCAGGTCAGATTTTCGAATACCGGAACGCAGCTTTACATTTGCATGTGAATCATGACCAGTGACTGGTGTTATACTTCAGTTCCAAGTTGAAACCCAAACGACACTCAACGAGCCTGCCATTATTGTCGTTGGAAAAGAGCCCCTCCTTCCCTCTCTACACATCGTATTGCTTACACCCTGTTCTAATGGTGCATCCCTCTGTTGACGCCAGATACTCTGATGAGTTGCGTCGCTTCCCGTGTCGGCTATGCAAAGAGCTCTATATATGTCGAGTGGTCGGTGTGCAGCAACGAGGGTAGCAGTTTGCCTTCATTTGTACGCGGATAAACTAAATTTCACATATACGTATGTTGTATTTGAATGTGGAGGTAGCTGTCTCAATGTGAATACAGTACAAAAGGTGAAAAGAAGAACGAATGAATAAGAGAAAGGGTTTCTTTCATCTCTGTAAATTCCAACCAAACAAAGCCAAATTGAGTAAGAAGGGATCGAATCTTGCTCAGCAGCTTACTTGAGTATAGGATAGTACAAAATTGCACAGATTGATCGAGGCGTAGACGGAGAAAGCAGAGGTTGACCTGGCTTAAGCTGTTTCAACGCAGTTCGATCGACTTCCTGAAAAGGAAGTCCGAGTCACATGGTTACAGCAGATGATTGCTGTAAATAAAAGCCATGTATATTCCGCTTAATGCCGCTGAAGATGCAATAGCTTGGTAAACTGCTGATAGCGCGAGAGGTGTATGCATGTAAACATTGTTTCTGTTTTCGCTTTTAGAGACAGAGTACGACAAAAAAGGACCCGTAAGGAAATAGTAGAAACTTTATTAAGGATTCTTTTTTCATTTATTTGATTTTTCAGATTTTCTTAATTAAGCAAATAAATCTATGATGTTCTATTCTTGTTAGAGGACATTGTAAACAATGGCCTAAAGCTTGAGAAATGTGGGGTAAATCGTCTGCGTTCGAGGCAGATCTCCAGTCGTTAGCCTTTCCCAAATCAAAACGTTTTGAATAGAGCAACTTGGATCGAAGTTAAAATGCGTTCTACCAGTTCGGTCTTCCTACTGAAGCACTCTGCTTCTAGAACCAAGAGGTACAGGAAATTAATATTTTTCGATTAATGCCCAGTGATGGGTTGCCGTATAAAAACCTTATAATGGAATTGACCGAAAAAAAAGAATCGGTTCTATTCAACTGAGGTTTAAAATAGATTACACAAAAGAGGCCCAACTTGAACTTGACGCAAATTAGAAGTGTACTACAGCCATCTGTACGTCGACGTTCAGTTATTGGATAAAAACAAGGCGTTTCTGGCTTTTTGGACTAAAACAATTCGAAAAGCATTTCATCGGTCCTAAAACACTGAACTTGAGGGAGCAGGAAGCGGTTGCCATCGGACAAACAGATTTCATGGGAATCGGTTAAGGATAGAATTATATAGATTTATTCGCTTCTGAGTTACAGGAGTCCTAGTAGATCGCTTCACAAACATTAATGATGAATGTGTGTTCAAAACACAGGCTGACGGAACACGTTGGTGCATAATATCAAGGGAGCTTCTCCTGAAGCTTATTTAGGACTTAGTTTTGACGCTGTCAAATCGTGCCCACGTATTGACCGCAGCTACGATATGACTTTAGTTAAGACGTAACCCACAATTTCCGTAATATTTGGATACTTCTCTTCAGGCCTGTCTATTAGGGTTCTTAGACCAAGGTTATCTATAAACGAATCTAGTTGTCATAGGAAAATGTCATGGTCCGCTAGCAAAAAATCTCCAGATCAACATACGTAATATCAGTGTTGAAACGTGCGCACATACATGTGCTGGTGTTTCTTGCTTTTGCACTCTCCAAAAATGTACGCATCGAATTCCCTTTTTTGCTACTTAACTTTGTGATATGCGTTTTTAAATTCGAAGCAAAAGTAAGACCGAAATTTTGATCAGGGGAAGCTCTTGGTCGTTCAGAAGCCTATTGCTTCTTTCGCTTTCGCTTGCTTGCAGTCAAGAAGTAACGACTTTGCCCCTGGCTGTCGCTGTCACCACCTCCCTGCTTCTGCCATTACCCGAGGGTATCACTTTGGCATCGCCTTATTCTTTCCCGTCTTCTCCCAAGGTCCCGTCGTCCGTTAGACGCTGTGACCGTCTGAAGCTACAGCTCAGGGGCGTCGATTTCAGTGAACTTGTGTGCAGTTATTGTTGTTGTTGTTGTCTGTTTGGGGTGTCGGAATGGCTAATGCTATCGTGAGCTCGTTGATGGCATTATTCTCCAAGGCGATACGCCTGAGTAGCTGCGTTTGGCTGTTATTGATGGAGATGAATTAATTATGAGAACACGCTCGCTTTGCGCGCTTATTGCGGCTTGTTTCCAAACAGTCGGTGAACGAGTCCGAAGGCGAAAGAACCAAAGTCTTTACGCATCTGGTGCGGCCTTTCCCATGTCTTCATGCTGTTTTTTTTCATTCCACAAACGAGCGATCGCACCGCTAGCCGTCGCATCACCCTAAAGAGCTCAACAAAATGAAGCAAGTCCCTCGATGGTGAGTAGCGTCACGGTATTGTACTGCTGTCTCTCCCTATGGTGTTCGAATATACGATACGACGCTAAACACCAGTAAGTCTTGTCAAACCTTCTGGTTCATGAAGGTCGATAAAATCTCCTTTTCCAGTAGTTTCTCTCGATTACGATAATGGAACTTAGTGTAAAGGCAAAAAGGTCAGAAAAAGATAGAGCCATTAAAGGGGGCAATTAACAAGAAGACGCAAGGGATAGATAGGTCAGACGAGCCGTTCGAACCCAACGTCGAAGGTTTTGGCTATATTTCGAATAGTTTCGAAGCTTGCTAAGTAAAAACCGGTTCGGTTCTGCAGTTTATCTGGATACATAGATACGAGACACGAGCGAGCAGGCAGTTGAAATGCTAGCGCACTTCCACTCCCAGCGTCATGGTCCATCATCGACTACACCGTCACTAGAAGTGGAAGAACTGAGTCAAAGGAACTAAAGGCGATAAGATGCGTCGGTCCGGGATTTGCTCTTATCATGTCATTCCTCCGTCGATATGAGGAAGTCGCCGCTGCAGTGACACGGTTACGGCAGCCTGCGGCAGGTGTTGTAGCAGGAAAGAAAAAATAAGTCGGAATGTCTCTTAAACGCCCGGACCGCCTTTGCAGAACGACTTGAATGGGAGGTTGTGACATAGGTAGGCGGCCATAAAATATGGAAGGCGTGAGGGGCGGGGGAGGCATGATCAGGCGTGAGTATGAGAAGGTGCAAGGCCAGAGAGAATGGAAGGATAAGAAGATGAGAAACCATTGGAACGGAGACCCCTATAACACACGATACACCTT